CTGCTGGGGCACAGGAACAGGGACCTGCTGCATCTGGTGGTGGTGCTGCTGCTGCAGACAGACAGAGGCGCAGGTTTCAGACATGACCAATCCGCCTGGGCCACCCCCAGGAGCCCACGGGAGCCCACATACCTTCTTCTGCTCCCGCCCAGGGTGGCCCTTCTTCTTTAACTTTGGAGCCAACTCTGTGGAGAAAAGGAGACGTTGAGACTTGGGGCTGACAGCGTGCACTGGCCGTAGGCACGGGTGGGGTTGGGGGGGGTGGGGTTGGGTGCCGGGAATCAGGACACAAAAGGACCAGCTCAGGAGCAGGGCTGGGGGCTCTAATACAGGATGGCCAGGCTGGGCCCGATCCCTGGGGATGTTATGTGCAGTGTCAGCTCTCCTCTGCCTGCTGTTGTCCCTGGTTGCCACATATCACTGGCTCCACTACAAGGGAGGCCCCTAGGCTGTGCAGGCTGGGAGCCGAGACCTGGCGAAGCCAACCAGGTCCCTCTCAACCATCAAGTGGCTTTATTCAGAAACCATCTGGATGCTCAAGGGGACCTCACCCGCTAAGGGAGGCAGAGTGAGGCTCAGAGACTCGCCCAGCGTCACACAGCTTAAAAGCCACAAAGCTATGGGTGCCACCTTCCCATCATCCTCTAGGGCAGCAGAGTCAGCGAAGGCTGAGATGCCGTGTGGTACCAGCTGCAGGACCGAGGACAAGGCCGGCTGGGCCTACAAATAGGGACAAGTGAGCTGTGGGCAGGAAGGAAGCTGCCAGCACCCGAGGAAGGGGACACCTCAACGCTGTTGCAGGGAGTGGCAGCACGTGCCCTGGTTCTTGGGGCTTCAGTGGTGAATGTGCCCAGGTAAGCCTGCTGTGACAGGGTAACTCAGATGCCAACGTCTGTGCAGATTGTCCCCACACACCTGAGACCAACATGCTTGGTCTGAGTGCCCCCTGCCAAACACCAAGGGAAGGCGAGGAGCTCGAAAAGGGCAGGCTCAGGGGCAGCAGGAGGGCTTGACCTTGCTCCCCGATCACACCAGCTCCTCTACAGGTAGTGGAGGCCAGGGCTTTGCCCAAGGAGAGGTGACCCCATACCAGAGCTGCTGTGGGTGGCGGGCCCCAGGGCACAGCATGACGCTAAAGGATGGTCATGCCACTGTGAATGCTGACCATCCACGCCACAGATGAGACACCACGAGACCTCAGCAGCCAGGGACACATGTCCGTAATAGGAGGTGCAGCAATGAGGACAGGGGCATCAGGCCTGTGGCCCAGCCCCCAGCTAGACACCAGAGAGGCAGGACACGGGCTCAGGGCTTTTCAGGAAACCGCGTGCTGTGGCTAAGAGGGGACTCTTTCAGGCAGGATGTGCAGGAGTGCTGGTTTGGGTGGATCGACAGGATCGCAACGGGGGTGGGGTGGGCTGGTGTCACAGTGTATGCAGTCGCTATGCTGCACGGCAGGTGGATGCCAGACGGGCCTGTGGGCCAGGGTAGGCCGGGCAGCTTGCAGGCACGGTGAGTGTGGTCCTGAGGGGCGGGGTGGGGGGGGGGGGGGGGGGGGGGGGGGGGGGGGGGGGGGGGGGGGGGGGGGGGGGGGGGGGGGGGGAGAGGCAGAGGAGGAGGTGAGACCATGAGAGGAATCTGGCCAGGAGAAACCTTGAGGGCCAGCCCAAATGTGAGGGTGTCCAGAGGTAACCCTGAGGACCCATGACAAGACTAGGGAGAGAGTGTGAGGGAGGCCTGTGGGCCCTCTGTGTTCACAGGCTCCCGGCGGGATTTCCGGTGGGAAGACAGGACAGAAGTGCACGGCAGAACCACGCCACGCCCCCCACCCCACCCCCACAAAACTCTCTAGAACGGGTTACATGAAGATGGCCTCAAGCACGGTGCGATCTTTATTCCACAACAATCTCGAACTCAACACAATTTCAACTTTACATAGGATGGTAATTGTACAAAGATTGAAAAAGTTTCTGTAAAATTTGATTAAAACACTGATTTCCCCGTCCCCGGCCCCCCTGAAGTTAAAGAGACAGAACTGTGAGAAGTTAGAGAGACAGAACAGTGACGGGGGTAGGAGAGGAGGGGAGGACAGCACAGGGCACAGGTGAGAGGGAGAGCGAGAACAAACAGGTGAAGACAGAGGAGTGAGCACAGGGCAGAGGTGGCATGTGGCCTGATCTGAGCTGCAGGGAAAGCCTTGGTGCTGGGAGCGTGAGGGTCAGATGACCTAGTCCCCAGAGGTGGCTAACCCTCTCCATTCCTCCCCAGGAGCCACAGCCACAGCTGTGCCCACCCCCCAGGCTGTGGCCAAGCCTGGGAGTACCTGGCACAGTGAGGGCCAGGTGTCAAGAGCTCCCATCAGCAGGCCCAGAGCGGCTGAGCCAAGGACCCCCGCAAGAGCTGCTGGGCTACTGCCTGTGTCCTGCGGGGATTTGGGGGTGGGTGGGTGGGGTGGGGTGTCAGACACAAGCCCAACACTGGGAATCCTGCAAATCTTCCCAGAAAGACACCACCAGTGGCCTGGGAAGCTCTGGGCAGCAACTCTGAGCCTGGCTACCCCTGCACTGGGAAGAGTCAGGCACAGGTCAAAGGGCAGCTCAAAATAGTCTGTCCGGCCAAGAGAGCTTGCCTGGGAGCTGGGAGCTTGACCAAGGTCAAGGTGAAGGACTGACAGGACTTGGCAGTGACAGATAATGCCTTCTTGGTAGCCCGACCCCCACCCCCACTCCCAGGTCCCAGAAGGCGGCAGCCTGAAAAGGGCCCTGCGTCTGCATGCACTCCACCGAAGGACAGGCACGCCGGCTCACATACATGTGCTCCTCAGGGGCCTATTTGTGTCACGCAGTTTTCCGTCCCAATGTTGGATTTTGTGACCAAAAATGGGCTGGTGTGTATTTTTAGAGCAAAATGGCCTCTAGGAAGAAATGGCCCACCAGCCTGCCCACCCCTGGTGGCTGTCACCATTCCAGACAGGGATGCAGGCCTTGACGCTGATCCCAAGGTGGAGGGGGTAAGGCCAGGGCCCTCCCAACTCATGGAGGAAGACCCTAGCCCCTTGGGGGGGGGGGGGGGGGGGCGGCGGCAGCCCGAGGTTGGCCAGCTGTTCAGCACCCCTAGTACTCTTCCCCCCTCCATGGATTGGCCCACCAGGATAGAAGAGGTTACAGCCCTCTTATGCCTGGGGAAACAGTACAGGCCCCTCCCTACATGACTGGGGGAAGAGGCCAAAGAGGAGGAGCAGGCATTGAAAGTTTCTGGAAATGCACTGGACAAGGAAGACTGGAGAGGCCTACAGCTGAGAGCTGCCTGTAGCCAGGGAGCCCTGTAGCCGAGCTAGCCTGATGGGACACAGAGGGAAGCCCCGGGGGGCCTGCAGGCCTCATCTGGGAAAACTCTAGTGGTTCTTCCTTGGGCTGAATGAGAGCACTCCTTGGCTAACGCCAATGCAAGTCCTGGAGGGAGCAGAGGATCCAGAGTCCCAGGAAAGAGGGAAGGTGAAGAGAACACACTTTGAGCCTGGGCAGCGCCCCCAAGTGTGCAAGGGGGAAGGCGGGGAGGAGGGGGGCGGGGAGGACTGCGCTGCCCTTGGAAGCCACCCCACCCCGAAGCCCCCACAGTGGGCCGGCTGCTACAGTCAGTCAGTCTTGACCCTGGAGGGCCCAGGGGGCCTGAGGCAGCTCTCCCCAGAGGGGGACAGGAATGGGCTGCGGGGTGTGACTGAAGGCCCCATCCCCCAGGGACAGGCCCAAGGCTCTGAGGGTGCGTGACTTGGTGGAGTCCTGTCCCTCTCACGGAAGAAAACGGACTTAAGCTATAGCTCGCTGGGAAGGAATCTGGAACTGAAGACCGATTTATTAAGAGTCCGTGTCCAGTGATTAGGCAGGACCTACATAGAGGGAGAGAGAAACCAGTGTGAGAGAGATGGTGTGGAATGTTCCGCCCAGTCAGTTACAAGAACCAAGAGCTGCGGCAGGCCGGCCTCCTGTGCCCGTGGGACCCAAGAGAACCAGAGGCAGAGCTGTATCCCCAGGGAGGGCACAAAGCAACACCCCCTTGCCCCAGAAAGTGTGGTGTGTGGACTGCTCCAGAACCACCCCAGGTCTGTTTGTGATTCTGCAATGAGTTCCATATGCACCCTGCACAGTCAGTGCTGTTATTTCCTTTTATCACAATTCCTCTGAATTGAGAGGCGCCCCCCCCCTCCCCCCGCTTCTTGGAAACCCGGGTCTGCATGCGCAGGGTTGTCTCCTGCATGTGGTCCAGCCCTGGGGAGGGAGGTTCTGAGCTGCAGTCTAGCTTAGGGAGGGAAAAGAACTAGAGGCCCAGGCTCTGCCTGTCACCAGAGCCCGACAATCAAGAACACAAGTTGGCAGGGGAGGCGCCAGCCACACAGGCTTGAGAACAGAAGAAGGCACAAGGCGAGCAGAACTGCTTTCTGCTTCTCCTGAAGGGGGCGTCACACTTGGTCTGTAGTCACTGGGGAGGCTGCCACGTTGGCCCTCCCTCGTCCTCAGACCTTCTGAGAGCAAAGGCTACATTCCAAGGGGCTGAGCCCCAAGTGTGTGCATGTCACTTGTCCTCCAGATCTTTGCCTGCCCTTCCACCTAGGGCTCAGCTGACTAGACAGCTGGGTGGAGGGTACTGGGGCTCTCCCCAGATTCTGGTAGGAGGCAGCCAGTGTGGGGAGAAGACCCTGGGCCTCTGTCTGCACTTTTTAGCCCAGATCTTTCCAAAGCCATCAGGCATTCTTTTTTTCCTCTGAAACTATTAAGAAACACCCCCAGATTTCAGTCCTGGGAAAAGGAAACCAGGAGACAAAAATAGCCGATCGCATGCTGCTGTAACAGGCTGCTAGCCAGTCCCAAAGCCCCGGTCCCACCCCAAGGTGCCTGGGCTCCCAGGAAGATCTCAGGCTGTGCCCTCCCACCCAAGCCTTCAGCAACCGGATAGGGACAGGGTTAGAGCTGGAGAGAAGGGTCCTGGGACATCCCTAATCCTAGCCCCTGGTGACAGCCACCAGCCTCCACGCACCTAGCGGACGCCTCCCACTCCACTAACCACCCAGGCACTAGTGGAACCCAAAGGGAACGGAGGACCACCACTCAGAAGATAAGGTGGGACAGGGGAGCGTGAGCACGCACAGGACTGACAGCCTCCTGGCCCCGCGAGGGATTTTTGGTTCAGTTCCCTGTGGTGATCCATGTTAGGGCAGTGCTAGCGGTTCAAGTGACAGAAACAGGCGCATCCTGAACTCCCAGCTTTCCAAACAGTAGTGTACTCGGGAACCAGAAGAAAAGCCAGAGAAGCCACCTCCCATGCCCGCCCACCACCTACCCACTCCCCAGAGGTAGGACAGAAACTAGGGCTGCTGGCTCCACATGGGTGCCAAGATCACCAGCATCTATCTAGGTGACCCAGAAAGTACACCCACCCATGTGCAGCCCCAAGTGATGGCCACTCAGACCCGGGGCTCATCAGTGGGCTCATCTGAGGGTAGGAGACAAAGGGAGCTGAGCCAGCGCAAGGTGGGAGGGGCTGCCTGAGGAGCCGTGGTGGAAGCCTGGGAGCCGGTGGCCCAAGCCTGTAAATCTTGCCTCCTTCCCGCCAGGACAGCTGTTCCCAGGACTCTCGGATTACTTGTTGCACAATCTCACCCCACTCTTTAAGGGAAAGAAAGTGGAAAAAATGAGGGGGGAAAAAAATCTCGGCAGCCAAGCCTGGCTGGCAATGCGTCATGGCTACTCCAACGGCAGGTGGGTGGTGGGCACTGTGGGCCTCGCTCACTCTCCCACGACTGCCATCCGAGCACGCACACTGCATTGAAGAGAGCCCAACTCTACCCCCACCCCCTCACATTGAGGCACTCAATAGCCGGGCCCTAGGTGAAACTGTATGACTAAAGGTGGCCAAACTCAGAGCATGTTCCTGGGACCCTAGGATACAGAATGGCATGCGGGCCAGTTCTCGGGTCTTTGGGTGCAGCGCCCCCTGCTGGCCACGGACAGAGAAATCACACCGGGGCAGTTGGTCCAGACTGGGCACTCAGTCTCTGTACATAACTGGTGTCCAATAAACACAGGACTGACCTGAGCTAGTGAATTTCCCCTCCCCGAGCCTGTCATTCACTCAGGGCAGGAGACCCAAGGGCACCCAGCCAGGCCACACTTCCCACACTACCCCCTCATGCACATGCCTCCCTTCCCAACACACCCACACCCACACCCAACATAAAGCTGTAGAAGGGACTCCACCCCAGGACCACTCTCACACCAAGATATTCACACCAACTCCTGAAGTGCATCTGTGGCTTACTCCCACCCAACTCCCAAGTGACTCCCATTAGTGCTCCAGGAGTGCTCCTTCCTGTCCAGCCCACCTGTTCCTCCATAGGAATTGGCCTTCTCCCCCACCTACCCCATGGTCTATTATTCTCAGTGTCTCTGTCCCTCACCTAAACCGAGAAAATGCAGGTATGGGGGACAAACCTCCTGCAGCTGCCAGAATTTTGCTCTGTCTGCCGCCCACCTCCACCCCAGCTGCTTACAGGGGCAATGATGGACCACATGGGTATGGACTGAGAACCACCAAGAACAGTACACCCTGGGATAAAGCAGCCGCTGACATCTACAATGACTGTGTGGGGGCAGTACCAGGAAGCACACGTCCACTGGGTCACACTGCAGGGTGGGGTATCCACAGACAATGCCAGCACCCAGGGCCCACTGACCTGTAGCTCTCCCAGCCCCTCCTCCATCCTTCCTCCCCCCAGGGCCCCTTCCACCACCTAGGCCTTCTGACCCCCAGCCAAAGTGGCAACTGGGAGAATATAGACAACTGCTGGAGAGGGCACAGGAACCCACCCACCCCTCCCAGTTTAAAGACTAGTAGCTGGTAGGGTTGGCGGGTCGAGGGGAGGAGGTGCTTCCACACAAACGGCCTGACCTGTCTCGGAGTCTTCACTGTCGGAGGAGCTGGACTCGCTGGTGCTCTCCGACTCCGAGGATGAGAAGCCCTTCATCTTGGAGGAGCCGGCCATCATGTCCACTTTCTCTGCTGCAAGTGAAACACGGGGTTGCTGAGCTGGGGTCCGCTGCCCACCCCAGTTATCCTGAGGACACGGGCGTCTCAGACACTGCTGGGCACCACCTTTCCCAGAGGCGAGCTCCTAAGGCACAAATACATGTGACCCAAAAAAACGTGGCGTCCAGGCCGGCCAATCTGGTGTGCGTGCGTGTGCGCAGAGCACAGACCAGACCGGTACACTCAGTTCAGAACTAAGCTGTACTGACACTGGACAGCAGATAGACCTCCAGGGGACAGTTTGGGGTAGGCTGGAAAGGCAGCCCAGGAAAAAGTCCATACACTAGGGAGGGAGGCTCAATCCATGCACCTTGGGGCTTCCTCTTCTTGCGCAGGCAAGACGTGACGTAGCGCTCCAACTCTCGCAGGGTGGACGGCTTCAGGGTCTCAAAGTCGATCTCGATCTCGTCAGGGTTGGAGTTCTTGAGTGAGGGCTCTCGAGACTGGATGATGTGCACCACACGGCCTAGCTTCTCGCCAGGCAGCTTGTTGATGTCCAGGCTCAGCTGTCGCTTCTCCTCGTAAGACATGGGCTTGCAGCGGTCCTCCTCCTCAGACTCATATGCCGGCGGCGGCTTGTTCTTCACGGGCGCTGGCTCCTTCTTGCTGCAAGAAAACGACACAGACTGTGTCAGGAGAGCAAGCTCTCACACATCATTGTCCCCGTGCCCCAGGCCTGTGGAGCTTCACGGAGCCTAGACCCAGCACTGAATGCCCAGGATGTGCTGATGCGGACATGCAGGCTAAGTGCTACTAGGCTGTGAGCTCGGCCCACCCCCCTCGCCCAGCTCCAGTGCTCTGCCAAACACACGAGCTCCAGAAGGCCCCCAGGATGGGCAGGTGGGGGCAAGAGGGGCTGCCAGTGCAGGCACAGACCTGGCGTTGTTGTTGCTGCTGCTGTTGTTTTTCTTCGTCTTCTTGGGAGGGGGCTCCTTGGCTTTGCTCTTCTTCGTCTCTTCTACTTCTTCTTTCTTTTTGTGCTTCTCTTTCTTCTTTTCCTTCTTGTCTTTCTCTTTCTTCTTTGGCTTGTTCTGCTGAGGCTGTGAAAGGGCTGCGAGTTGCTCGTGCACGGCTTTGAGCTGTGGAGAGACCATGGGCTCAGCCCCTCTGGGCACCCAGGAGCGAGGCACAGGTGGGGGCAGGGACGTGGGCAGGGGCCCTCAACTGTGTTCACATTCATTCACAGCCAGGCTCCAGAGAGCTGACAAGTTGATGATCAGCCCAATGGTCACTTTGACCTAGGGAAAGGGTCCTAAGGGGACTGAGTAGGAGGACAAACACTGGCCCTGCCACCTGATCTTTCAGAGACCGAAAGACCTACTTTGAGAAGGCTCCCTCCCTCCAATCAGCAATTGTGTGCCTGTGTGCGTGCGTGCGTGCGTGCGTGTGAAATCAACCAGGCACTCACTCAGGAGGGGGACAAGGCCAAAAAGGAATTGGAATGCAGGAGGAAAAAGGCAGGGCCAAGGAAGGAAAAGCTGCCCTGGCCTGAGGCTGGGGACCCAGGGGGTCTCACCTGTTCCTGGAGCTCAGCCAGGCGCTGGGCCCGTTCCTCCTCAGAGTCGTCAGTGGAACTATCACTGTCTGAGGAGCTGTCGCTGCTGCTGTCACTGGATGAGGGCGGGGCCACCACCTTAGTCGGGGGAGGCACAGCAGGCGAGGACACAGCCACCAGAGGCTCCTCAGGCTCATCTGGCATCTTAGCGAAACGCATCTCGAACACATCCTGGGGGGATAGGGGGAGAAGAGTTGGGCCCGTGAGGATCAAGGTCCAGTGTCACTGTAACAGGAGGCCCCTTCAAAGCTTGCTGTGAAGGGGAAGATGGTCCCAGGGGACAGCCCAGCATGGGCACATGGTGTCATGTGAGTGGATCAGTTTGCTGAAGTGGGTGCTTGCACATGCTCACTAACATAAGGAAGCCCTTGAGCACAATGCCAACAGAGGAGGCAGGAAGTGAGTGGCACAGAGTGTGTAGTTCAATGAGGAGGCCAAACCCTGTGGAGCACAGGTGTCTACACAAGACAGCACCTCTCCCAGGCAAGCGAATGAAAAGGATAGGGCAGCACCATGGTGGGTGAGGAGAAGTTCATGAGGAGAAAGAGCCAGGATCCCACTTAAGACAATACTGATGCCAGCCAAGGAGTCAGTTGTAAGTGGCAAGAGTCTAGGAGCACCACCCCAGTGAAGATTTAAGCAGCCACACAGCACTATGGGAAGCCAAGGGAATCTGGATCAAGCCAGTCAGCACAGGGATGCAGGCAGTGAAGGATCTGTCTGGTTTGCTTCCGAGAGTGCCCCCAGTGGTGTATGTGGGGAGGTGGTTGGTGGGGTGGTGATGTAGTCACACAGCCATGTCTCCACACAAAGGGTCTGAGGAAGACCCACCCCGGCTCCAGAGTGGAGCTCCACAGTGGTAGGGGCAGCACTGGTCCAGCCAAGACCTTGTCTCAGCAGTGTTTTGCTGGTGACGTTCTAGAAGAGGGCATCTAAGACAGACATCAGCTGTCTTTGCTGACAGGGAGGAGGGCAGGCAAAGGAACGAGTTGAGAGCCTCCTGCCTGGCAAAGTCTCGGGGCTCCAGTTAGATGAGGCACCAGGTGCTGGGAGCGGACGGTCGTTTCCTGGTTCAGAAGGCAAGTTGTCGTGGTCACACAGCCACAAAGAAGGAAACCACCTCCCAATTCTGGGGAGGGGAAGGGCGCAGTGCATGCAAAGCAACAGGCACACAGCAGGTCAAAGTCAGCGTGGGGCAGAGAAGATGCTGCATTGCCTGCAGGAGGCGGGGAGGGGTCAGGCCTGCACAGGGCAGAGGCCAAGGGGTGTTGGACACAGAGGAGCCCAGCAGCAATAGATGGGCCTCTGAATCTGAGGCAACTCGAAAGGCTCCAGCTCTCCCCTCTAGGGTGGCGCCATGCCTTCAGGTGACAGCAGCAGCCTCCACCTGTAAGCCCAGGCATGATCCTCCGCAAATCCAAAGGGACACAAAGTTTCCGAAGAGGTCCTTGCTGGAATGCTGACCTGAATCGGCATCGCCTCCTTGAGGCTGCAGCAGATTCACATAGGGTAGAGATGCACGGGGCTGGGAAGCCACAGTAACCAAGACTCCCAGAAAAACCAGGGGCCCAGGCAGCTCTGCCTCAGCACCTGCACACCCTGCTCCTGTCTTGGACACACCCCAGGTGCATAGTGGGGGGAGGGACTCGATGCTAGGGACACAGCCTGTGTGTGAAAGCGGCACAGACATGCCTGCTGCCAGAGCTCCCTGCCCCTGGGGTGGCATGCAGGATTCCCATCCTCTTCTGTCTCGCTTCCCTGCTGTAAAAGTAACAGAGCCACCTTGAATTCACAGAGCCTTCTGGAGGTAAAACAGATCCCTCACGTGGCTCATCATTGAGGTCACACTTTCTAAACACTGGTTCCCAAAGCAGTGCTGAGAGAGGGGAGACCCTTGCCATGTAATCTTCTGTTGAGCCCTGAAACGAGGTGGCTATCAACACCACAGCAATGCTGCAGACCTCACAGGAAGAGATGACTCCACTGGCCTTCCTGATGCACAGTAAAGATGTGCAAGACTTTAGTTCAAGTCTAACCAGAGGCACCTCAAAAGAAAGGCCTGGTGATCTACTTTCAGACACTCATCCCAAAACCCCATGGAGAAAAAACATAGACTCAAACCCAAATAAAAAGCCCAGGTGTACTGATCTGACAGACTGCTGGAACCCTAAGACTTTGACCCTTGGGCCCTGGAACAGAACTCACCCCAGGGCTCAGCTTTCGGCCAAAGGACAGTCCTACACAGTGAGCAGTGAAGAATGGACACCAAGACAGCGAGCAATCAAAGGAGCAGCATTTGCCCAGAGATAAGCTGAGAAAGCCGGGCAGGTAGGAAAGGCGCTGCATGCAAACAGGGAACCAGGAGAGCAAGTGGGGGGAAGTGCTGTTACGTTGTGGAACCTGCAATGTCGCAAAACAAAACTGCTGTGAAGAACTGCTGAGTGGGCCATCAATTTGCTGTCAACTTTCACCTGAACCTCAACCAAAAAATGCTCTACTTTTGCCGCACACAGGGTTGCCAGGGGTGAGAAGCAACTTGCCAGCTGATGGGAAGCCCCCCAGGAGTCTCCTCTGAATGAGCTTTGTCATCAAAGCAGATAAACTTTACCCCTTATCATAGGGCCAGGAAGAAACACTTCTTTCTACAAATGTGGCATAGTCCAGTCACCTCCCAGACCCCAGCACCCACCCCTCAGGCTCGATCTGGCCTAATCCTGGCCCATAATGGAAGGTGTATTTGTGTGGGGGCCTAGGGGTGGGGGCTGGGGGTAGAGAGAGAAAAGGGGGTCCTCTGAGACTCTGGGTCTGTAAACCCCACACTAAGCAGGCCTGCTGCACCCGCTGCCGCTCCAGGAAGCAGAATGCAAAAAAGCCCCCAAGCGAAACAGAAAAACATTGGTTAGAAAATGAAGGCCATGGAATTTAAAAAAAAAAAAAAGGTGGCTACCAGGCAAGAAGAAATTAGAGAGTATTTGTTTCTTTTTCTTAAAACAAAATAGCAGTCTTGGTTGCTGGCAGAGAACCTGTTTTGGTTGGCTGTTGTCAGGATGACAAAGGCAATGGATGGAAAACTCCATTGTCTCCCAGGTGTAATTCTGAAGGTACCACTGCCACCTGGTGGACCTTTATAAAAATTGCAGTAAAATGGTGCCAACAGAAGAAGAAATGCAGCAAAGAACAGTTTTGTGAGGGCAGACAGCACCAAACTGAGACACTCTCCTCCCCCCCCTTTCCGAAAACAAAAATATGTGCGGGAATTTGGGGTGAAGGGGAGCTGATATCAAGGAGTTCAAGAAGGAAGAGACGTTTTGAAACTGTGGTGAAATAAACAAAAACCCAGAAAGGAAACTAAGCTGAGCAAGCAGAAACTAGACCTTCCAGTCAGCATGGAAACACAACACAAACCCAGACAGGTTCCCAAGAGCAGGAGCCTGCTGAACTCACACTGTGGCAGTTCCACCCCACCACCCTGAAGGATGAGTCCTCCTTTGGGCCCACTTCAAGAATGGGGTGGCCACCTTGGCTCTGAAAGAGGGAGGGGGGGTGTTCAGGCGACAATCCTAGACAACAAGGAGGCAGTTGCCAATGTAGAGATAGCCCCATGGAGGCCCAAGGCTTCACAAGTGTCTCTCCTTTCTGACCTAGAGGCACCTGGGTGAGGTAACAGCAGGCAGGTGTGTGTGCACTGAACCTGCACCCCTGCACCCCAAGCTTTAATGGCTCTGGAGAAGCAGCAAACGGAGCAAGACGCACAACTCATGATTTTAAAGACTGGAAACAGAATTATAAAACGTCAAATACCGACTTTATTCTTCATTATTTTAATCCTCAACCCGATCACACAAAGAGGCACTGTTGAGGTTTGGGTATGTGGTTTTCTTTTATTGCTTTCAAGTAAGTAAAGAAAAGGAGAATCAGTCACTGTGTGTTGTGTGCCCAACCCCCCACCCCTGGTCCATGAGCATCTGGCCAGGGGCGGGGGTGGGTGGTGGTCACAGTGGTGGTCATAGCACTGAAGCCCAGGGCCTTCCTGGTGGGCAAGATGTCTGCTGCCACTGAGATAAGCCTGTTTTGAAGTAAAGCTCTGACCATGAGTAACACCACCAGCCAGACAACTGTGGATTGGCAGGTGGGATCCTGAGGGTCCCCAAAAGAGCATCTCTCTCTCTCTCTCTCTCACACACACACACACACACACACACAACAGTGGAACAAATGAAAAATCTACTGCTTCACAGGCTCTGGCTTCTGGCACTTTATCCCAAAGTGAGACCACACTTCCAAAGAGACACGGCACTTTGCCAAGGAAGACGGCAAAAAACAAGGCCTGCCAAGTTGTCCTGGGTTGGTCCCCACCCCAAGCCTCACCTGGAGCTTCCGAGCCATGGCCACCACCTCGTGGTCGGGAGGGTTGTACTTGTAGCAGTTGGAGAACATCAATCGGACGTCGGCACCAAATTCCTGAGCGTCGCGGTACTCGCGAGCCTCCAGTTTAGACTGGGAAGACAGGACCGGGCCTGTTAGCTGTGCACACCTGTCTCCGGGGTGGTGGCAGCCGTGAGGGCTGCTTGGGGGAGCAAATAGGCTTCTCAGGTCACCCCAACCCTAGTGGTAGGGAGGCCATCAGCCCAATTCTCTGTTATCAAGTAGAAAAGGCCACACTCAACAGTGAGCCTCGGAGCTGGGAACTAGCGGCCCAAACTCATCTATCTGTGGGGTGAGGCACTGCCTAGGTCGGCAGCACTGCAAAGAGGCTTGAACTCCATTCTAACTTGGGCAGACCCAAGACAGGGCCCTGGTCAGAGGATCCCACCTCATGGGCTGTGGCAAGAAACCACACAGGTGTCTGCAGACACGCTGTTCTCATCCGAGCCATCCGCTCGCCCTGTGCCTGCTCCTGAGGATGTGGGACTGCGCCCGGCACCACTGGCCCTGGTCGTTGCCTCCCAAAGCCCCCGAGGGAGAGCATGAGGACCATCTCCCTGGCATAAAACCCTGAGTGCATGGTCTGGGTGCACCCCCCCCTCAACTCTCCCCAGCAGTGGGCGCTGGGTCCTTCAGGAAGCGGAGAAACCTTGCCGGCTCCAAGAGAAAGCCCCTCCAAGCCCGTGCTCCTGTGCACGGGGTGCTGTGTGGGGAAGGCTCACCTTGATTGTGCTCATGTCCATTGGGTGCTTGATGATGTCGCAGTAGTCATGCAGGCCCAGTGCCTCCACATCCACAGGTTTATAGAAGGGCCAGGCATAGGCCGCGTGCTTCTTGGCAAACATCTCCTTGAGGATGCCGCTGCAGCACTTGAGCTGCTCGGAGACTTTGCTGCTCTTGTCGGGTACCGGGTGCTGCTGCGAGTCAGGGACGTCCTTCTTCGGGGGCTTCACGGGCCTCCCACTCTCCCGCCGTGGGCCCAGCTTGGTGGCCTTGGGCTCCGGTGGCAGTGAGGGTGGCTCGTGGATGGGGTCGATGGTGGTGGGGGTGGTGGTGTCTGCTTTCCTCTTCACCCCCTTCTTTGTCTACAGAGCGCACAGGAGTGTCGGGAGGGGGCAGGGGGGCAGCTGCAGAGCTGTCTGCCCAGCCCTGACTCTCTGACACAGGCCCAAGGGTGAGAACAGGAGCTTCTTCCCTCCCCCCAGCTCCAGCCCCACAGTGCAGACTGCAACTCTATGTAGGCACTGCCATGTGTCAGAAAGAGGAGTGGCCACCGGTGGTGGCACACTGTGGCTGGGGCCCCTGGGCTGCGCTCCCATCAAACAGTAGATTGAGGCACCCCCTGAGGTACAGAGTAGCCCAGGCTGGCCCACCTAGCCAACTCACCTTCACAGGCTGCGGGGTGGCTGCAATGATGGGCGGGTGGCTTTGCACAGGCTGGGGGGCTGGCGGGGGAGGAGGGGGAGGAGGCTGCGTTGGCACCGATGAGGGCGGCTGCAGGGACTGGGGGGGCATCAATGTCACAACAGGTGTCTGGACGATGGGCGGGTGGCTTTGCACAGGCTGGGGGGCTGGCGGGGGAGGAGGGGGAGGAAGCTGCGTTGGCACCGATGAGGGCGGCTGCAGGGACTGGGGGGGCATCAATGTCACAACAGGTGTCTGGACGATGAGGTCTGGGGTGACGGCAGGGAAAGGGTGGGGTGCGGCCTGCACAGGCGGTGGGTTAGCCTGAGGGGTCTGGGTGTGGGGTGGCGTCAATGCTGGCGTCGTGTTTGGTACCGTGGAGACACCGGGCTTGGCTGTCCCTGAGGACAGAGAAAGGGAGGGTGGTAAGGAGCTGGCTCTCCTCACAGGGAAGGTCCCCATACAGCCCATAACCAGAGACAGAGGACCTTCCTCACAGATCACGCTGCACACCCACTTCCACACTGGCACCTGGCCCAGGAAGCAAAGCTTTTTCGGTCCTAGCACACACTACTGGGGGGGGTCATGCCACACAGCACCTGGCTCAGACAGAGACCCTCTCAACACACACGGAGGCCTGCCTTGGGGTGGTACCAGCGAGGAGGCTGAGGCAGAGGAAGTGCCCTTCAAATTCCTGGCCGAGCTCTCCTGTCCCAGAAGCACAGCGTGCAGAATGGCTGCTGCAGGGCCTGTGCTACCTGATATCACCAAGGCTTCCAGAAGCTGGTCCGCCCGCCCTGAGCCCCAGGGGAGGCCGAATGGCTGCTGCGCTCAGTGACCTATAATGGAACGAGGAGTCCACGCACCAATGGCCCCTGGGCATGCCCAGCAACACCAAGCCGAGTTAGCGTTGTAACTGTGGCTATGCCACGTGGGAGGGTGTCCACCAGCACACTGGACACTGGAGCCAGGCTGAGCCAATAGTCTTATCTCCTGCTTACTCAAGCACACACATCCAGCAAAAGCAAACTGACCATGGGGCACCCTGAGCTGCCAGGTTGCTCAGAAATGGAGCAAAGAAGGCACAGTCACATGGCTCATGTGCTGACCAGATTGCTGGTCCTGGGGAGGGGACCTGACCAGGTAGACAGGAACTAGTTGTCAACATGTGAAACATCAGACTGCCAGATGAGACCTGCTCCTTGGCCACCCCTCGATGCTTCCCTAGCTGCAGCCCTGCCCCCACCCCTGGCTTCAGAAAACCATGATATGGGCTCGCTCTCTCCAGGCAAGCAGCGGGGGCCTGACCCAGTCCCAATATGCTAACCTCACCCCAGCCGCATGGATCAGGAAACACAGCTGCTGAAGACAGTGCTGCCCCAGGACCTTGTCTATTACATAACCCACTGCTTCCAGCTGACCCTGAGAACCCAGGGTCCAAGACAAGTATGGCTGTCACCCAAGCACACACAGGCAAGTATTTCAAAGGAGCAAACCCCAAATTGTCAAGATCTAATGTGACACTGGCAAAAATGACTTTTGTTCAGGTCACTGCCTTTTTCAATAATGGAAAAGCAAAAACCAGCTCTAGCACTGACTGGTTCAGGGGAGGAATTCAAAATACCTTAAAAAGTAGATTTACCAGGCTGCTATGGATGGACTCAAACCTCCAACCTTTTGGTTAGGAACTAAGCATGGTCACCATTATACCATTCAGGGACCCCTCCCCCACAAAAGGAAGAGCTCCATTATCTCTGTTCAGAGGTAGTCCTCTGCCCAGTGACCCAATGGGGCAGGCTCACCACTAGTCAGACCCAGCGTGACCAGCAGCAGCTTGTGCCTAACAGTGGCCACTGCCTAGCCACTCCTAGCCTCCCACTCAAACTTGGAAAGGGGGCAAAGGCCAGGAAGGGCAGCCCATCTCCAGGCTCACCTGCTTCTTTCCTCCCCCGGCCTCGTCCCTTCGCCTGGACAATCAGGATCTCAGTCTCCTCGGTGGGCAATTCATTGATTTTTTGCAAGAAGAGCTTCTCCAGGGCTTCAGCCATTAAGACGATGTCATCTCCAGGCTGGATGAAGAAGCAGGAGGTGAACCAGGAAGTCTCCTCCATCTCTCTGGACTGAGCAAGCGCTCCCTTCCCCACCCAAGCCACCCCTGCCCCAAAGCGCCAGGCACCATCTCCAGGAGGGCCCTTCCCAATCTGAGCGCCTAGTGTCACCAAGGAGCCCCATCTTCAGGTGCTGAGCAAGCACCTGGCCCCACGCCTCCCTCCTCTCCAGGCCTGAGAAACCCATCTGAATGCCCTGGCACCTGTCGTGCTCATGGCTCCCTGGCAGTGATGCCGCTGCACTCTTGCTCTGCTGACACTTCAGACCCGCTCCAGTGAGTCATGCAGGCCCTCGTGCCACGGATGCCTCCCTAGGTTCCATCCCCAGCGGGCCCCACGCTGGGGGACTGAGTCTCCCCACACTGAGCACTCTGCCCTGACACGCTGCCCACGTGCCTCTCAGCTGTAAGGGACCTTATCCGTGCAAGCGCCGCGTGGCCGAGCAGAGGAAGCTTCGGGAAACTCACCTACCCATCTCTTCTGGGTCATTCTACCACTACACCAGCAGAGGTCATAAGCTGAGTTCTGTCTGGGGTCTGCCTCCACAGCCGCTCTATTTGGGAGGGTGGGTTTTAATCACGCCTGTGGTCTCACTGTGAACAAAGGACCGGCCTCATGGCACAGCGGGGCCATGGGTTGTGGCAATGGGGCCGAGGAGCAGCCTGTGGATCTACGTGTAAGGTCGAGGGGACACTCGACTCCAAGGCTGGAAGCTGTGAGCAGAGGCCCTGGCCCTGTGGCACCTGCTCAAGCCACCTCTGCACAGCAACATCCTAGCAGGCCCCTCCTGACGACTTCTTCGGTCGCCCATTAGGGCGCTGTATTGAGCCGCCACCACTGCCACCACCGGCCCCGCCCTCACACTTTCTCCACTAGACATGCTCACGGACCACACCCTCAGGGCAGTTTCAGGCTCAACAGGGGCAGCTTGACAGGTGAGACCCTCCTCCTCACAAAAGACAGACACACATACATACACAGCCCAGGCCTAGCACCTCCGTTCCAACCACCTCCTCCTCCTCCTCTTCTTGCAGACCCAAGCCCAACCCCTCTCCGCTTCTGTCCCTGGCCCTGCCCTCCTGCATGTTGCCCCCAGCTCACCTTGTTGTAGATGTAACAGTTTGTAAACATTGTGTTGAAGTCCTGAATACATTCCTGAGCATTCCAGTAATAGTTGTTTTCCAAACGCTTCTTTATCGTTCCCATGTCCATGGGCGTCTTAATGATCTTGTAGTAATCCTGGAGAGGGCAGAGCATGCCATGTGCTGGGGCCTGCGACCTTTTGTGCCCCCTGGGGGCCTTTGGAAAGAATATATTCCCACTCAGGTGTCAAAGTGCAGGCCTGTCCTCAGCCTCTCTCCAACAGCTGAGACCTAGGATAATCTCCGATAAAATTTTGTTGGAGGGAAAGGGGAGTGTTCAAATAGCCTTTTGATTTAAGAAATTCATAGGCGAAACAGGCAGCCTTAAATAAAAACAAAATAGTTCTTAGCTGGTAAAAACCATGCTTAGCAGGTCCTATTCACACCCATTTTCACATCTTATATGTCTTTAAAATTCCAATCCTGTGAAGCCAAGATCTGAGCCTTTCCCAGCTGCTCCTTTCACTGAGTTTCCCCCAAACAGAGCCCTCACCCCTAAATCACCCATGCACGGTGCGTAGTATTCTAAGTGGGGCTTTGTCACGTGGTTCGAGTGACAGCAGGAAGATGGCCAAGGCTGGAGGGCTAGCCAATTGCCAAGCCCTTTCCCCCAGAGGTGCTGGGTGCAGTGGAAGGAAAGTACCCCAGGAAGGCAGACCTGAGCTGGACCCAAGGGGGCGGGGAAGCATCACGCTCTGAGGAAGTGAGGGCCAACCCAGAATGGGTGGCCACACCAGCCTGTGTGATAGAAGTTGAGTTCCTCTACCCCGCCTGGCTGACACCCAGCAATCACGGGGCTGCCGCCCCAGAGGCCAGGGATCATGAGAGAATATTGGGTCGCTGAGACGAGATGCCCAACACGGGCTCCCCAAGTCCTCAGACCTGTAAAAAACACACTAAGCCACAGAGTAAACATAGCCATGCCACTTGAAAAGGAAATCTGACTGACATAAGGGGGGAGAGCATGCACCAGAATCCCCAGAGAGCAGGGTGTCTAAAGAGCTAAAGTCCTGACAGCATGGGTCTCTCCAAGCTTAGCAACCATCAAGTCAGTGCCCAAGGTTGGGCTTGACCTTGGAAGATTGGGTGGGCCACGCCCTTGAAATCAAGTTCTGAATGATCATCACTGAAACTTTCTGTAAGCCTAAACCTGCTCTGAAATGAAAAATTTGGGGGCAATCCATAAGGAACTTAAGGATAGGAACAACAGTGCCTATGCTTCCAACTGAGACTGGAGGGCCAGGTAGCCGTCGGGCTGCACACAGCAGCCAAGGTCAGGGATGTCAGCCCTGCTCAGACCTGCCAAGAGCCACCTTCTTTAAAGTGACTTGCCTGCCCAACTCTTTTAAGTGGCTCTGGCATTGGGCCTAGGTGGAGGCACGGGGAGATGAAGGTAGCTACGGAAAGGAGTCACAGGCTGGAAGGGACTTGCCAACTACACCGCTTAGAATAACAAGTTCAGACATACCTGCTGTGGTGGGAACACAAGAATTTGTTCTATGGCCAGGGGTCTCTTATAAGGTGAGGTGTTGAGATGTGTTTTCAGACTGAGGTGGTCACAGGGTGCTAAGTGGCTGAGGGACACATAGATCAAGGAGGGGACAGAGTAGGAGGTGAAAGGTGGGGGAGGGTTTTCCTTAGGGAGGGTGCTACCTTTGAGAACAGTCCATTAGAGTCAGAGTTCAAACACAGCTCAAGGCCCAGAAGGCGGCAAAAAGCAAGTGACAGGGGCCATGTTCTGATGGTCCTACCACCACTTCAAGGGTCACCCTGAGAGCCAGGCTGCAGCAAGCAGCCCCAACCAGTTTTCTGTCAGATGGGGAAGGGGAGGCTTTGGCCCAGTGTGGGCTCCTGCAGCAGTGCTTCTATCACCTGTATTCGTCCTGCAGGTGCTTCTGGCCCCTCAGCCACATGGCCCTCCCCTCTCAGGGTCTCTCCAGGCCTCAGTGTCCCCTTTCTCCTGTACTTGCTGCTGCGCTGTCACTCTGCCCCTTGGATCATCTCACCCTGCTTCTAGGGACCATCCCTCTGGCCCCAGAAAACAAAAACAACACTCCCACTCACAGCAACCCTACAAGACAGAGTAAAACTGTCCCTCTGGGTTTCTGGGGCTGTAAATCTCCATGGGAACAGAAAGTCTCGCCTTCTCCCAGTCCCACTGGGGGAGTCCAGCTGCTGGTCTTGGTGGTTAGCGGCTCAATGTGTGACCCACTATGTCAGTCCCTCTAAAGTGCCATCAGACCATCCCTCATCTCTGACCCTCTGCAAACCCTGAAGCTGAAACGTGGCTTTGAGAACCACATTTCCATGGTGTCCTCTCTGCTGGCTCTTCCTCAGTCACCTGTTAAACTTGCTCTGGTTGTCCACACCTGACCCGAGTTGCTGCCCTGCCTATCACCTACCATGCAACCGGTGATCATCAACACTGCGCAACCTCACATGACTTATCCTGGTCACCAGGAGGGCAGCTAGGAAACCTGGACTTGAAGGAACTCTCACCCTTCCCCAACCTGCCTGTAGTGCCTGGCTCCTGGACAGCTGTCACAGACACAGGAGGACCTATTGGGACAGTCACCAGAGGTTGCTAGCACCCACCTGTGCACTCATGACCTCTCTGTCCCAGTTCTGATGAAAGGCAACAATTTACTTCACTAGAAAGCATGGGGGGGGGGCGCGCATGCGCGCACACAACGCTGAGAAGCCATGCCCAAGGGTTCTGGTTCTAGCCCACTGCAGACAATGGGGGTCTTTGAGTCTCCTTATATCTGAGCAATCGGTTACGGTTTTTGACTTCAACTCAACTCACTGGGGTGCTGAAGGCCCTTGGGCCAGATGTTCAACTTCCCAAAGGTCCCCAGCCTGTCTCCACTACTCACAGGGAGGTTGAGCTTGACAGCGTCCACAGGCTGCTGGAAAGGCCACGCGAACTGGTGTCTCCATAGTGTCTTGAGCACCACTTTGAGCAGGTATTGCAGCTGGTTAGTCTGCCTCTTGGGCTTGTTAGGGTTGGAGGTCTCAGGCGGTGGGGGGTTGGCGCTGGCTGTGGCGGTTGGCTGGGGCTGGGGCTGGGCTTGCGGCGTGGACATCTGGGTAGTTTCTAGTCCATCCCCCATCACGGGCAGACTCCTCAATCTTGTCCCAGAGCCGCTCTCCAGAGACATGCTACCGATCCCATCACATTCTCCACTGGGCACTCTGTGGGGAGAGAAGACTCCATCAGAATCGTGGTTATGAAGAAGCGGCACCATGAGCTAGCGCAACTGTCAGGAGGGCTCTGTGGGAGCTGCTTCCCCTCTCCTAAGGACTTCTACCACCTACCCCAGACTTGTCAGGGGAGCTGTGTCAGGAGGGCTCTGTGGGAGCTGCTTCCCCTCTCCTAAGGACTTCTACCACCTACCCCAGACTTGTCAGGGGAGCTGTGTCCACGCAGGGAAGGACATGGAACCCACAGGGCAGAAAGAACAACGGCCCCCAGACTGCACACCATACGAGAGCCACCCCTAAACAGTACTAAAATGCTTCTGTTCTTGCATGTACAGGGAGGCTTCAAAAAGTTCCTGGGGAAATGGAATCAAAAGATGGGACTGTGTCTGTGAGCCTTCTGAAACCCCTTCCTATTGGTTGGTCCCAACCACAGAGCCATCAGTGATCACAGCTGAATCAGGCATGGAGCGTAGTAAATAGGCTGGGTGGCGGCTGGGTGGGCTGAGGGCATCCTGATGACAGACATTTTCTTGGTAGCCCTAAACCTGCTGTGCACATTTGCAACCTAAAACCCAAACAGGGAACCGAGCGATAACCAGCTGGTCTAACCTGATCATGGAAATACACCCGTCTTGGCCACCCTTGCCTACACCCCAGCCCCTTTCCAGGGGTCCCTGCACTTGCTGGACAGGGAGGCAAGCATCATCTATTGCCCCAGCAGCACATAGCCTACTCATTGGCTTAGTCTGGGAACTGCCTGCGGTGCCATTGTCCTACCAGCAAGGACAAAGCATGACCAATCTGGTGCTGTACCAGTTTCAGTAGTAGGAAGAGAGACAATGTGAGCTGAGGCTGCCTGCCCTTCCTAAACTCCCTTCAGAACAAAGCCAGGAGTTGTTAGTGGGTGAGAATCTTCTGGCCAAGGAGTTTGAGGAGGATGTGGAGGTAAAGAGCACAGGTCCTGGAGGGGCAGGGAGGCCTCACCAGGTCAGCCTGGCTGGTTTGACCTCGGAAAGTGTTCCTTAAAGCCCCAGGAGCAGGTTTTCACTCAATTATGGGCAATGTGGCCGTCCCCTCCGTTCCCCTTCACCCCAATCCTCAGACTCTAGGTGGCTGGAGAGGCAACTCAGACCAAATAAAGTCCAGGCATCCCCTTGCCACTGACATCCTTCATGCCTCCCCACTGTCTCTGCCCAAGAGCCATTTCAAGTCACAGCTCCCACTAATGCCTTTTGGTGCATCACCTCAGTGATAAGATGTCTGTCTGCTGCATCTGCACAGGCTCAGTCTCCGTCCCTGAGGGCTGTGCCCACTACAGTACTTCACTGGCCAGTGGCTAACCACACCAGAAACATGTGATGTGGTACTCGCACTGTGTCAGAACCCTGGCTTGTTCCTCCCTGCTAGGGACATGAGTAGCTCACTGGCAAAATTCTGTTGTCAGGTGGGAGGCCCTGGTTCAATTCCTGGCCAATGGTCCTGCAGCAGTGGAGGATTGGGTGTTGCTGTGGTGCTGAACTGGCGTGAGTGGTCAATCTGTTCCTTTATGTGTGGCCTCAGCCTGGGTTCTTGGGTGGAAAACTGTTACCTTTGCCCTTGGTCTTTGAAAAAGCAACATAAAGGGGTAGCGCTCCAAGGCTGGCTTTGTTTGTTTGTTTAATATATAAACCATTTTATTGGGGGCTCTTACAGCTCTTAACAATCCATACATCAATTTTATCAAGCACATTTGTACATATGTTGCCATCATCATTTTCAAAACATTTTCTTTCTACTTGAACACTTGATATTTCTTCTTTTCCCTCCCTCCCCCACCCTTAAAACCCTTGATAAATTATAAATTTTTATTTTCACATCTTACACCATCCGTTGTCTTTCAACCACATTTGTTGTTCATCCCTTGAGGGGTGGTAGTGTTATATATCAATCACTGCCATCGGTTCCCCCCTTTTCCCCCCTGCCTTCATGGTATCGCTACTCCCATTACTGTTCCTGAGGGGGTTCATCTGTCTTGGATCCTGTGTGTCGAGAGCTCTTATCTGTACCAGTGTACATGCTCTGGTCTACCTGGATATGTAAGGTAGAACTGGAGTCATGATAGGGTGTGTGGGTGTGGGGGCATCAAAAAATTAGAGGAATGCTGTGTTTCGTCGGTGCTATACCACATCCTGGCTGACTCGTCCCTTCCTTGTGGCCCTTCTGTGAGGGGAGATCCTACAGATGGGCTTTGGGTCTCCATTCCGGGCCACTCGCTTTCGCGCTGATAAGATTGTTTTGAATCTTCTGATGCCTGATAACTAATCCTTTCGACACCTCGTGATCACACAGGCTGGTGTGCTTCTTCCATGTGGGCTCTGTTGCTTCTCAGCTAGATGGCCACTTGATTAATTCAAGTCTTTAATATCCCAGATACTCTATCTTGTAACAATTGGGCACCATCAGCTTTTTCCACCACATTTACTTATATAACCATTTTGTCTTCAGCGATTGTGCTGGGAAGGTTAGCATCTCAGAATGATGGCTTAATCATTTTTGACATTCCTAGGCTACAGTCTGTCCAGGGACTGACCTATTTTATGTACTTTGCAGGGAACACGACCAACTGAATACTCCAAATCCCGCCCCCCAAAAAACACTCCAAACTCACTGCCATTGAGTCAATGCTGACTCACAGCAACCCTATGAGGACAGGGTAGAACTATCCCCATGGAGTCCTGAGACTCTAACTCTTTAGGGAGTAGAAAACCTAATCTTTCTCCCTTAAGAGCAGCAGGTGGTTTTGAACTGCTGACCTTGTGTTTAGCAGCTCAGTGCATAGCCACTACCACCACCAGGGCTGCCCAAATTAGTGTTTAACATTCTCTCCCTGCCTTTACACAATACATGCACACAAGATTTTAGAGTGCCTTTTGTCTCAAATCCACTGCTATACAAAGTACACAATGGCCACCCCACCTGCCATCTCCAGCCCAGACACAAGCCTGGTTTTCACACTGTCCAAGCCTTCCAAGTCTTTGAGGCGTGGATAGAGAGGACAAACTGCAGGCCACTTCCTTCGTGCTGACTCTTCCTGCTCCACCTGGCTCAGGAGGACTCTTTCTAAGAGGAGTGGGGGTAGACGCCATGAGTGCAACATGGTGCTTGAGATGGAGATGAGGTACCCCAGTAGAGGGCAAGTAGTTTGAGGCATCAAAAGACACTATTATCTTATTATAACCAGCCAAAAGCAAATGTTATAAATGATGGCAAATTTTAGGACAGACATCTGTGACTACAGTAGCCTGTGCCAGGCTTGGGGACACAGGAGAATTCTCTCCCCTGTCGGGGGCATTTCTGGTGGAAATTCTGCCAGAACTGCCTGTCATGTAGGCCTAGAAAAAAAGCACGGTGGTGTGGACCAAGGAAGACAAAGAGGCAGGGACACTGCAGGGGCAAGAAGAGGGAGGAGGTTTCTTCAAGCCTAGACTTTTGGTGGCTAAAAGGGACCTCCACCTTCTCAGAGGCAAGCATGGCTCCTTCAGGGCAGGGTGGCAAAAGGGATGGGCTGTCACACGCAGGTTATTGACCCCCTTCCTTTTCTTCCCAGTCTCATCCCAGCGCCAACAAGCAGGCCCAGTTGGGTGCCAGTGGAAAGAAAGGCTGTGCTCCAAGGTATTCCCAGATGAAGAAGAGCTCTATGAGGTGTGACCCTGGTGCTTGGTTCTCATGGTTTCAGAGAGCTGGTTGCCATGCCTGAGCTGCCTTTAAAAATAAGATCACCGCAAATAAGAACACTAGGGAAACAAGCAGTAGACCCACTAAATAAACCAACAGCGTGAAGACAGGGGTCAGGCAAGAGTCCTAAGGCTGCAGACATCATGGGCCAGGGAGCTGGAAGAAGAGAGGCACCCACTCAACATCCTTCTCAAAAGAGAACGAAGGTAGTCACTAGCAACTACAGGAGCTGGGGCACCGGAAAGACACGAGAGGGGACTGCAACACGCCGAGAGTCTGAACAGGTCTGTCTGTCTGACTAGAAGAGTAGCACCACAGAAAGGAGCAGGTTGGGGGTTTGCTGAGAGTAAGTCAGAGGGAGAGTGCATCACCTTGCTCCAGGCAGGCTACCTGGACACCACGTGGGAGAAGCACCAGGCCAGAATGGTACCAGCACCATCACTGCAAGAGGAAGCAGCCTCAGCAAGTCTTCCACTAAGTCAGGCTGTTCTGGAAGTGCACAGGCAGATGAAGCCAAGGCGACGGATGTTCTCTGGGCCTCTGGAACAGCTGGACTGGGCCGCATGTGTTCTCTCTCCAAGAGGGCACATGGGCACTGTGGCCACGGGCCAGCGACCTACCACTTCACCTTCACACCAGGCAAACCCAGGGGCAGGACAGTGATTTCTCTGCTCAGAAGACAAATGAATGTTTTCCTGCAGAGAACTCATTTTTCTATCTCTGCCTTACCTTAAACAATCGCCACCTCCAATCCAAGCCTACACAGAGGGACTCCGAGTTCACGACAGCTATGAGACATACCCAGTCTCAAAGTTCAGTGATTTATAGTACTTTCAGCATAAAGTCGAGGAGCCACACTAACCAGCCAGGAGTCAAACCTGCCTGGCTCCTAGGTGGTTTCAGGGGTAAATGAGGACACCCCCATGCACCCACCAGTGACCCCTCTCCCCAAAAGGCTCAAGCTGATGATCTAGTCGGGGCAGCCTCCATCCATAACTCAAGTGACAAAGCACCACACTCAATGCTACTGAGGTTCAATCCATTAAGAAGCAGTGAGTTCAATGGTTTAAAAACTTCAGGTGTGTATCAGGATTGGATTATTTTCACCACACTTACTCTACCTGTATGCTGAGAAAATAATCTCAGAAGTTCGACTGTACAAAGAACTCAGCATCAAGATGGGAGGAAGGCTCATACAATTTTAGATATGCAGATGACCCAAACTTGTTTGATGAAAGTGAAGTTAAAAACCTTACTGAGGAAGATCAAAGACTATA